GAATTCAGTAAACCTACAATACATGTACATTTAGTTTTAAACGTAAATACGTATAAATGTAAATTGCAAAAATAAAAAATGTAATTCCAGTTTTGACTAAATTACGGCTCAAGACTGACAGCCATTTATCCTCATATTTCATAACTCATATTTAACATCTAACTGTTTTAAAAGCAACGTAAAAGAGCTGACGCCTCTCACTTTCTTAATATATTCATAACCAAAGGTCAGAAAGTCCCCTCTTCAATCTGTGGGAAAATAAGAAAGCTCAACATCAGTTGTATTGGCCTCTAATGGGCTTGTGTTATTGGCTGAATAACTGCATATGAAGGACTGTGGCAGCATCATTTAATTCTGAGAGGCTGAAATGAGATGAGAAATTTACAGTGATTGAATGGCTGTGACATATAAACTCCATCGCTGGCTGGGGGCAAATCTACTAACAATTCAGAGCTACAGTAAATGATAGTGAAAGGTGATCCTGTGACCCAAAGAGCCCACGGGACAAACCTAAACAATAGCAAACTGCGCCTGCCGTCCACTAATCAATTCTCTGCAGGCAGTCAGAGAGAGAGAAAGAGAGAGGAGATACAAATGTGATTTATCAGAAGCCGGCACTTTACCAGCAGCTCAAGTTATTAGCGCACAGACAGACCTTTTAATACATGACAGAATAAGTGCTGGACGAGGAATAATCTAATGCATTTTAAAATAAAACTGTCAATCGGTATGTCAACTGAGCATAAACTCCTCCCACTGGTGCACTCTGAGCTAATGTACACTGGAAAACAATTAGCAGAATGACATTTACCTCTGTCTGGAAAGATGGGAAGCAATGAAAATGACTGAATATAAAAAAGAATCTTAATTAAAAAAATAATGATGAGCAAAAGCTCAAGGGAGAAGAAACACAAGGGGTAAAACAGCCTGTGGTGGAATTCAGAAGTTAGCATGACGGCTGAACTTTATCTTCCCGTTCTTCATTTCTCTGTCCCTCCTCCCTTTTCTTATTTATAAGTAAACATGTTTAAAGATAATTTGGGCTGACTACATGGTTAAAGTGTTAATAGGATTTGCTCTTCAGTGTTTGGACTTTCAGCAGTGAAAATTAAACCACACTGAACTGAACTAAACTGAACTTCAACTCTGAAAACTGGACTGACACAGTTTCTATTACAATCTACTAGAACGTCTAATTAATTAAGATAAGATTAATTAAGATAGAAGCCTGTGGAGTGTGGCTAACTGGGGTAATATGCTCGTTACTTTTCAGTAGACTAGCTGCTGCATTACGCACTGTAAACACTGAAGAATCTATTGATCTAATTCAATAAATAAAAAAATTACAGTGGTCTAGCTTAAATATATATATAAAAAAATATAATTATTAATTCAAACTTATTCTTTATACACAGCAGGTATGTTTTGACTTTAGCCAACAGTCTCTGCTGGAAGAAACTGCCATTTTTTTACTAGTGAACTGCTTTGTTTGTCAAACCTAAAGGTATTATTAAAAATCATATTAGGATTGTTGGTAAATGGATAAAAACATGATCTTAAATTACTAACAGCATAAATGCACATGTAAAAACCCAAACCCCAGGATAAACAAACAAAGTTATCATCCAAACCTTATTTTAGTTCTATCATGCAATTCAATAATGGCTGAACTGAGACTCAACTAAATTTGTACATCTTTCACATAACAATAAAAGGAGATACTGTGTTTTATGAAAATATACCCTAAGGGAAACATGTAAAACAAAAAGCATAGGTCCCGAAATAGACCCTTGGGGAACGCCACACTGAAAAAGGAGCATTGTACTGTATGTATTGCATTGTTTATTTAAAAAAAGTGAAAGTTGATAAGATCAAGTCATAAAATAGAAACACATTGCCAATAAACATATGTACTGGTTTTCAACTTGTGCACATGCATAAACATGAATTCAATGGAGACATTTATGTACTGCGGAACAGTATTGACTATATTTCACTTCTCAGCCTCTAAATATCACAGTGATCAATTTTATAGTTCCAGCCTCCATGGCTGCTCCTTTTCAATTATTCCTGATCATAAAACAGGGCTTTATACATGGAGAACAGTATGATCTGGGCCACCCTCATGAATTTAAGCTCTAAAAATATCAAATATTCACGTTATTGCTGTTACTGAAATAATATCATGATTTCACGCTCCCTGTGAGAATGTTTTACTGTATAAGGTTCAGAGTGAGTTCAGACGGAGCTGTATTATCTGTTCTGTAATGAGAGATGAGGGGATTGTTTTCTTTTATTTCCATCTCTGAACGTATAAAACAAAAAAAAAAAATAGAGAAAAACAAATGAAAAGAACAGAGGAAAGAGCTGCAGACATGCTGTTTCGTCCCGCTCAATGAGCTTTTCATCAAAGCAGCGGCACCTAGAGCACAATGCAGAGCTGTGATTCAGACTATTCAACAGATGAATCCAGAACAATACTGGAGAGCGCAGAACATCTCCAATATGCGCTCATAAATAATCCCACCATAACAAAAGACACTAAAATGTAAGGTTCTCAGACACGCAAGAGCTGCAAACAAAGCGTGCGTGGTGAAAAATGAGCACATGCAAGGGATAATTCCACCGTTTCCTCTACAATCCATGCCAATGGTGAATTTGTGCACTTGAAGTCATTTACTGAACATCCTTTCATTATTTGATCTGCATTTAATATTCGGCAACAATGCATAGACACATAAAAGTACATTTATTTACCACAAGAAAGACTTGAGTATGAGGAAAACACTCTTAAAAGACCAAACCAAAATGTGAAAAACAGAATCTAACACCATCTCAATGGATTTAATGTGTGAAGCTCTGTTTATATAAGACATGCATTAAATTCACAGCATGTCCAATTACATCTGCTGTTGTTCTGCCCTTCATCTAAACAACTGACCATCTTCACAAATTCGGTTACTGTCTAACTCCCAAGCTATCATTTTCCATCTCTCGTTCTCAGTCTTCTGCAATTAGATGATAAAATTGCATCTGAGAGGTAGTAAATCTGATATAATTATGAATCTACAGATGCTTTATGTTCCTCAGAGGGCGCTAAACTGCACTGATGGGACATGCAGAGTCAAAACCGAAGCGCTTTCAATATGTATGATGGCTAAAAAAGAAAAAGCATCCTCTTTCAAATGAGAAATTTTCTGAATCGTGATCTGGCACAGGCGTGAAATAGGAAGTCTCCAACAGAATGGGTAATTTTCACGGTTGATTGAAGTTTTGCATCTCAAATTGAGGTGCAGCACTTCAATGGTCACGAAAGGAGCAACACAAGGTGTCAGAAAAGTGAGTGATTTGATTATGTAATTAGACTAAATGAATCCATTATAATGTATTATTAACACATCTGATATTGTTATCACAGCCTTGTTTAAACCGGCAAAATGAAGTTTGTCTGTGACTGAAACAATGCATAATCACACAGCAGCTGTGTTCCAGAAGTAACTGTGTTTTACCTGATGGCAGATCTCGTGCACCACCACCACGGTGAGCTCCATCTGATAAGAAAAGGAGGAGACTTCGGGATCCAGCAAGATCTTTTGCTCCACAAACACACTGAGGCCCCAGTTCTCCATGGCTGAATATGGATGTTTCGGCACTGCCAGCAGATCTGCACACACAGAGACCAAAACCCAAGATCAATAACAGGTAAACAGCATTGGGTTTATACATTAAGTATATTAACTATTATTAAAAGTAACAAATATTACAAATGATTTCTGAAGGATCATATATAACACTGAAGATAATTTATAACACGTTACATTTTAATATAATAAAATAAAACACTAATTTAAAAATGGTAGTCGTATCTTGTAAATTACTATTTTGCCATGTATATATTAGTGCTGGAAATAATAAATAATTTGTACATTCGTTCATTCATTTTCCATCGTCTTAGTCTCTATTTGAGATGTCACTACAGAGGAATGAACCACCAACTATTCCAGCATATGTTTTACTACCAGCCGCAATGACAATGCATTTTTTAAAATCATTAATAATTCAGTATAAATTATATGAATGAAATTAATTGTAATTAAATGCAGAAAACTCATGTGATTATTCATGGTTAATTACGTTCTTATACGCAAACTTCAACATCAAATTTAAAAGCAGTGTATTGTGAATTTTTGTTTTAAAAGTTGTGGTATGAAAAAACTGAGGTGTTTTATAGCACTTTTCTCTTTTATAATTAACAGTTACAAATTAGGTATTAAAGGGGACCTATTATTCTCATTTTTACAAGATATAAAATAAGTCTCTGTTGTCCTTAAAGTGTTTACGTAGTTTCAGCTCAAAAATAACATGCAAAAAATGTTTTATGTTTTTTTGAAACTGACCCTTTCAGGGTTTGATCCAAATTGTGCAATTTTGGTGTCTGTTGCTTTAAATTCAAATGAGATTAATGAAGATTAGAAATGAGACTAAAAGATTGTGCAAAAGTAGGTAGAGCTACAAACGCCTATATATCAACATAGTGGCAGATTCAAAACAGGACAAATGTTATTGTTGTAAAAAACGGAAAATGTGAAAAGATGTGTCTCAGGAGAAGGCAGCCTACAAAGAATACAGAGTTCATTTGTGCATCTTAAAACTCAACATTTAGGATCCTGTTAGTCGCTGAAATTATTTTCAGCAGGTACTGTGCAAAAACTAATGCTGGACGGCTGCTTCTCACTCAGGGCTGTTAACGCTAACGAGGGTGATTAAATGATTATTGTATTATAAGTCCCCTTTCAGCAATTAAGCATTTGTGTAAGTAGATTACAAAATCATTGCATGTAATGAAATACAGTAGTGCCTCGCTATAGCGCAATTCACCTTTAATGGCCTCACAGTTTTGTCGATTATTTTAGTGCAATTTTAGTACTTTTGCTTTTTTTTTTTGCTTTTTTTTACAGCACATTGTGTTCTAAGTCCTGATTGGCTGTAGATCATCGCCAATCAATCTTCTCCGTGTCTCCTGTACAGTACAAAATGCATTCAGCTTGCCATATTAACATAAATTGTCCATCCAACAAGGATGCAAAACTGTCCGCAGCAAGACCATCGTAAATGGGGACACACACCAGATGCTACATGCCACGCAGCGCCATTTATTTTGGAATTGTAAGCATAGGTTTTTATCAGGGTATACACCTGCACCGCAAGTCGGCGGCTGTCTGCAGTGCTCAGCTACGACTTCAGATTTCTGTCATGCCACAGAGCGGCTTCTGAATAATTTCATTTTTAAATAACATGAGAATAAACACATGCGGTGTGTGTTACTTCCAACTGTCATGTGGTGGAGCATCCGCTGAGCGACGATGGACCTATGGGTTTTGGTCTTTAGTTTCATTCTATAATACTGGACTTATTTTTTATATGAAAGTTTGAACTTTGAGAGTGTTGAAAAGTGTGAAAAGGTTAATGCCTGTCTGGGTGTGTAGTGAGGGGTTTTGCAGCCTTAAAACATCTATAATAATTGTAAAAAAAATAAAGCTGACTTTCGCCTATTGCAGGTTATTTTTAGAATGTAACTCCCGCAAATTACGAGGCAACACTGTATTTGATCGAATACAATATATGCAAATAAAGGCAAATTTCTGCCTGGCAATGCAAATGAGCTGGACGTTTGTCACAGACACATGTAATGAATCTCAATTCTAACTACTGCGTTCAAATAATAAAAAATAAACATTTGCTTAAAGTGAAAAAAAAATACCGCGAGTAATCTAGAGTGAGTGCCACAGAGCTTCACATTTTGTGTGAGGCCAGCATTAGGCCCATTCTAAATGCTCTTATTGATGGAGACGCTTGATGATGTCCATCTGATCCCAATATTATACTTAATATTATACTAAAATATAAGACACAAAGATTTCAAGACACATCTATACAACAATGTACTAAAATTAAAACATTTGTGCATGACGTACTTGAGAAGTAATCCTAGATATATATCATGAGATGTGTTTGAGCCTTTAATCAAAGCTCAAATCAAAGATGATTGCATTTTAAGACAAAATCAGATACAGCCGAGCCGCAAGACACTAGACTTGTTAATCATATTTCCCCCCAAATGTCTGTTTTCCTGAAGTCAGTGTATCAGTGACACAGCAGACGCGGATCAGCTGTTTTAAACGCCTCCTCCCTCATCAGCTCGATTTTGAAAGCTTTCATATGCCAATGAGAACAGAAGCAGCTCAACCTCTGGCGTTGTTAAATCCACATCTTATACTCAGTCGGAGGAAGAGGAACTGTTGAAAGCTGTAACATGATTATCCGGCGGGCTGCTGTGTGTCTTATTTGCATGTTTGGTGAATGTGTCTGAGAGCAGTCTTAGAGTTTAAGAGGGAAGCTGCAATCTTTGTGGCAACTGATATTACATCTGCAGGGCCGTGGTGGAAGAATATGCTTTAATGATGAACAGAAAGTCAGACGCTTCACTGATAATGAGAAATAACCTTTACAGAGATGAAGATGGAGTGACGAGCTCATTCAAGAGATAAAGAACAATGAAAAAAGCAACGCAAAGGTGGGAGACTGAAAGAGCTGCTCTAATAAATGACTTTAGCGAGTAAATCAGAATCAGCCAGTGCAGGTTTAATTGGCCATTTTTAATGCGCTTCATGGAAGAAAAACTTGATGCTCTAATTGGGCTTTTATACAGACTCATACTGCAATTACACAAAAAGATGCTCTTGAAAAAGACAAAAGTACCATAGTATTCTGAGATGTACTTCAACTCAACTATGTTAAAACCTTCAGGACACAAAACTAAACACCTCAAGGCTCGGTAAGTAAATGTTATGATTCTCCAGCATACATTCAAGTACCAGAACCACACTTTTAATAAGAGAATCTGAGACATTTGGATGTTGGTTCACATGTTAATTAGTACAACAAAAATCTGTAAGTACTACTAATTTACAACAAACAATTGTACATTTAATAAGGAACAAGCATGAGAACTGAAAGTGTAATGATATTTGCAAAAACAGCACTACTGCGTTCAAACAACAGTGCAATGAATGAAAATCCACTAGCAGCATGCAAGTGGAGTGAATAAAAGATTCAGTAACTCATTACTAATTGTTTACTTTCTAAATCAATAAGTGCATTTAATGAATCAGTTTAAATGATTATTAGTTAATGAACAATTATTACTCCCTCATACATAATTTGTTTCTAAATAAATTGTTATAATTAACAACTAATTCATTAAATTGATACGTTTATAACATATTTACTGGATTCTTTTCTGAATGAGTAGGGTTTTTAATAAATCTGTTCAAATAATTACTGATAATACTAAATAGAACTTGACTACTTTCTGAATTTTTGTTTTATACCAATTAATTGAGTGAATTAATCGATGACTCATATATGCTTAATTAGTTCCTGAACAAATCATTTAAACAAATTAGCCAAAATAGTTACTGAATGATTACAACTCAGTCATATTTTACTTATTTCTAAGTGAACTAATTAAATTAACTGACTGAGTGAATGTTTAAATTATTTGTTCAAAGATGATTCGTTTCTGAATTAATCAGTGTTTATTTGGTAAATGAAATACCTGAATTTGGTTTTGATCTGCTACACAGTTGATTTTTGCTGCTGCGAAGCAAAAACCAAAAGGCATGTTTGTAAGAACATGTAAGACTCACTGTTACTTTTTCTGCTCACATAAAACACATAGAATTACCTAACAAGAAAGACAGACACACAAAGATTTTACAAACGAATATGCCAAGATACTGTTGTGGTACATCTAAATATTTTACTATATATGTGTGCTTGGGTTACTATGCTGAATGTATAGACACTAGTGTGTTATATGACTATGTGTGCCTGGGCTACCCTGTTCAAAAGTTTAACACCAGTGGCCTTTGACTATGTGAGCCTGGGCTACCCTGTCAAATAGTTAGTGGTGTATGGCATCTGTAAAGTTGTTAAACTTGCTTACTCACAACCATGAGTCTATGAGGTTATTTTTTTTAACATCAAATGTTTCATGTTTGATAATCTTGTCTTAACCCAACATCTTATTAATTATGACTCCTATTTCTATTCTGTTAATGGTCAAAAGGTAGTGTTCTCCAAACAAGTTACCTTTTCAACTGCACTAAACATAGGTAGGTACTACAAATAGCATATGTTTAGGTGGGAGAAAAAAAAATGATGCATTGATGTATCAATGCATCTTACTATAATGACCAAAAGTTCAAAATCAATTCAATATTTAAATGAGACTTTAATGCAGCCTGCAGAGGTACGAGCTCTAAACAGAAAAATAATATGCATTAGGAGCACATACATATGCTTTTAATTTTGCTTCATTATGACAGATGATCAACTTAAGAATTGTAGGCAAGGCGAGACGAAGTGGGACAAGGTGAGGCGAGGTGCTGTGTTATCTCACCCATTCAGAATGCTGTTCAAATATCTTCCGCACCCGAGAGCAAAAGTGAAACCTCAAATCGTAAGCAGTGTTCTGAACACTCTATTGCAATGAAGGCTTGCGGTGTGTGTTTTGCAAAGCACTGTGAATAAATGTAGACCAGGCCCATTGTTTTGCAATCTATGCTGTAAAGAGCACCTACTTTACCTTTTTATATTTAA